TCCGCTCTTTTGTGTCGGGCCTCTCACGGACCGCGGCGCGCTCTCCACCTCCACGACTCGAGCTTTGCGGCCGCGGGCCGGCGGTCAGATGATGTGGAAGCCCTCGGTGTCCGAGACCGCCTTGAGCAGCTGCGCCTTGAGCTTGGACTTTGTTGTGTACTCGGGCAGCAGTCAGGTGGTTGACAGCAGGGTGTGCGCCGACGGGAGTCGCTCCTCGTCGGAGCCGTTGCGCGAGATGACGAAGGAGAGGTTGCCGAGCCTCTTTATTGGCACACCGTTCGATCGGGGGCGGGGGGGGGGGCAGCGGCGGCGAGGAGGGTGGCGGCGGTGAGGGCGGAGGAGGCGAGGGTGGAGGCGGCAACGGTGGCGGCGGAGAGGAGCCTTGAGCGGCTTCTTTAGCTCGCGCTTGTGTTGCGAGACGCGCAACAGCGTGTCCTGGATCAAGTGCGACCGACGAACCTTGAGGGGCAGGGACGGCGACGTGGGGAGATATGGCGAGATATGGCCGAGGTATGGCGGAGATATGGAGAGATATGGGGGAGATATGGGGGAGATATGGCGAGATATGGGGGAGATATGGGGGAGATATGGCGAGATATGGGGGAGATATGGGGGAGATATGGCGAGATATGGCGAGGTATGGGGGAGATATGGCGAGATATGGCGAGATATGGTACCACACCTTGAGGATCAGGTACGGCGACGTGGCGCCTGCTCACAGCGGCGGGGCCGTGTGAAGAGACGCCGTTCACACCTCGCGGCCTGGCCGAGGGAGCGGACAACGTGCCACCCACAAACAGCGAGCGCAGGATGGCGCCCTCAAACTCGTGCGTCATCTGCGCCGTCGCGTCGTACATGAGCACCTAGAAAAAGAAACACCGGCTGCGGGGGCGCCGTATTTCTTTTTTGCGGCCCGCTTGCGCCGTGCTCTTGGAGGCCGTATCTCCCCACATCTCCCCACACCTCACCATATCTCCCCACATCTCCCCACACCTCACCATATCTCCCCACACCTCCCCACACCTCCCCCCCCCACACCTCCCCACATCCCCCCACACCTCCCCACACCTCCCCACACCTCCCCATCTCTCCCCACCTCTCCCCATCTCTCCCCATCTCTCCCCACCGTGCTCTTGGAGGCCGGGTCGAGGACGTACGAATGCCGGCAAAACGAAAACTCGCGCCGCGCTGACCGCCAACGGCGGTAATCCTCCTTGAGGTTCACCTGTCCGCGGCGTGGCGGCTGTGAAGAGAGGCGCTTGCTCACGGGTGGCGGCGCGGGTCCTCCTCTGTCTCGAGGCCTCCAAGTTGACCGCGTCGTTGTAAAACGAAGCGTAGTCGAGCGAGCTGCCGCCCCCACCTCCGCCGCCCCCACCTCCGCCGCCCCCACCTCCGCCGCCGCCGCCGCGCCCTCCGCGCCGCCAGCCCGCCGCCAGCGCCGCCTCGTTCGCGTCGTAGAGCAAGCCGAGCACCTTGGTCGCCGCGAATGGGGAGATGTGGGGAGATGCGGGGAGAGATGGGGAGATCTCTAGAGCAAGCCGAGCACCTTGGTCGCCGCGAATGGGGAGATGTGGGGAGATGCGGGGAGATATGGGGAGATATCTAGAGCAAGCCGAGCACCTTGGTCGCCGCGAATGGGGAGATGTGGGGAGATACGGGGAGATATGGGGAGATATCTAGAGCAAGCCGAGTACCTTGGTCGCCGCGACGACGGCGTCGTCGATGCGCTGCGTGTGGCAGAGCCGGACCTACGGGCCGCGTCAAAGACCGGGAGGTGTGGGGAGGTGTGGGGAGGTGTGGGGAGGTGTGGGGAGGTGTGGGGAGAGATCTGGGGAGGTGTGGGGAGATGTGGGGAGATCCGGGGAGAGGTGGGGAGAGGTGGGGAGAGGTGGGGAGAGGCGTGTAGAAACGGCGCGCCGAAAGAAACTGCTGCAGCACGACCACGATCCTCGCGAGAGCAGGCTCCGGCCAGTGCGACCACCAGCGCGCCACCTGCGGGAGATATGGGGAGATTTGGGGAGATCTGGGGAGAGATGTGACCACCAGCGCGCCACCTGCGCGGCCGCGCCCTCCTCGAGCGACGCGATGAGCGAGCAGAGAGGCAGCAGCACCTGATGCGTCACATCGAGGACGGGGCTACCCGGCACTTCTGCGAGGTGGAGCCGCGGCGTTCCCCTACCCCCACTGTACCCGCGCCCAGTTACCCTACCCCCCACTGTACCCGAATCCAGAAGAGGAGCCGCGGCGGCGCCCCGCCGGACCGTCCTCGTGGAGCCAATAGTGACTACCACTACTGGACTCCACTGGACCCGGGCGGAGGAACGCCAGGGGAGAGACTGGTCTGGGGGTGGTCTCTCGGCCCGATCTCGGCCCGATCTCGGCCCGATCTCGGCCCGATCTCGGCCCGATCTCGCGCGCCGGCTTGTGGTGCTGCGGCTCAAGCAGCAGCGGGTTGGCCATCAGTACGAGCAGCCAGCGGAGGGAGCCGCCCTCTCTCTGCAGGGGGCAGCTGCCCTCGGTGAGCAGCTTGTAGGCGCCGCGGCCGCGGAGCAGCGCGTGCGCCTGCGGGGAGAGGTCGAGGAAAGGTCGCGGAAGGTCGTTGACGGGGGCGCGGGCCCGCGCCAGCAGCAGGGGGCGCACCCCGCGCATGACGACGTTTCCGAGCCGGTCGGCGGCCGTGAAGCCGGCGCTGTCTGGCGGCGAAGAGAAGAGCAGCGAGTACGCCTCGCCGACGGCGCCTGCGCGCGTGCGGTAGGGCGTGGCGGAGGGTGTTTGCGGTGGAGGCCTTGCAGAGGCGGCGCTGGCGCAGCCGTGCGCTGGCGCAGCCGTGCGCTGGCGAGGCCGTGCACTGGTGAAGCGATCACACTGGCCAGGCACTGGAAGCGGCGACGTGAGGCGGCCCGTGTCTGGCGAGGTGTGGGCGGTGTCTGCGCTGCGTCTGCGCTGCGTCTGCACGTGCGGCGCCTGCGTCCACACCGCTGAGCTCCGAGGGGTCGACGGCGAGCTGGGCGGCCTCCGCCTCGCGCGCGGCGCTGCTGGAGACGAAGGAGCGGCTGAGCGCCTCGACGCTCGAGAAGACCTCCGCCAGCGACGCCTCCAGCGCGTGCATGCTCTCTGGCGCGCCAGACGAGGCGGAGGCGCAGAGCTGCTGCAGCAGCGGCAGGGAGAGGAAGGGAGGCAGCTCGTCGCAGAGCGCGTGGTCGCCGCACTGCGCCAGCTCGAGGCTCAGCAGCGCGGCGCGCGTCGGGTCGAGCTCACTCGCGTCTGCAGAGCTTCGGCAGTGCCGATTCGGGCAGCCTGGCCGACCACAGCCTCTGGTCAGCTGCGCAAAGTAACGCCGCACGAGGGCGGACACACGATCCCTGTCCTTGGCGGTGTCGTCAACGTCCATTGCCTCAGAGGTCGACGAGGCCATGGGCGGCTGCGGCGATACCAATCAGCGGCAAGAGTGTTTCAGCGCGCGGTGTCGGTCGTGAAGAGCTGCACGGCGGATTTCTTTTTCTTTTTAGAGATCGCCGAACCTTGGGGGGTACACACAGTCAACCTCCATTGCCCGGCGGGCGCTCGGCCGTCTATCGTTACACTCGCGCCTCCGATCGTCCCCCGGGAGGCGACTGCGCTCGCTCGCCCGTCGGCATGGCAGCACTCAACTTGCTCGGCCTCGCCACAGCGGTACCGCTCAATGCGCCGCCTTCGCCGCCTTCGCTGCCTCCAGCATTGCCGCCGCCGCCGCCGCCGCTCGCCCCCGGCTACGTCTCAGTCGTGAGCGAGAACGAACTCAGATCCCTGATCGAGGGGGCTGCTGCCGACATCTCCATCTCCCTTCCGCCCAGTGCGCACTTCGAGCTGAGCAGCCAGATCAGCTGCGCCTCCAGCATCAAGGTGACCATCGCCAGCAGCGGCGAGGGCGCGACGCTCGACGGCCAGGGACAGACCACGCTCTTTTACCTCTCGGGCGGCTGCAGCCTCACCCTGCGGCGGCTGAACCTCGTCAACGGGAGGGCGGACGATGGCGGGGTTGTGCAGGCGACGGAGGCAGGCGACGTCGAGATCATCGACTCCACCGTGAGGAGTTGTTCGGCTACTGGCTCCTGGTACCCCATCGGTGGCTGGCTCCACGGGGTGCGCCGCGTAGAGCTAGCCACCGCCCTGCAGCGCCGCACGGCAACAGGGCGAGAGATGAAGAGAGCCACGGCTGCCTCACCCCGCTCTCTCCTCGCAACCGCAGTTGGGCGGTGTCGTCTACGCGTCTTACAGCGGTGCGGTCTCGCTCACCGACTCGACTGTGACGGACTGCTATGCTTTTGTGCGTCGCGTAGAGCTAGCCGCCTGCACTGCGCGTAGGGGGCTGCGGCTGCCTCACCCCGCTCTCGCCTCGCAACCGCAGCGCGGCGGCGTCGTCTTCGCGTCTTTCAGCGGTGCGGTCTCGCTCACCGGCTCGACTGTGAGCGACTGCTCGGCTGGCTCACAAGGGGTGCGTCGAGTAAGAGCTAGCAGCCTCCATGGGCCGCGCAGCACGGCTGTGGGAGAGGGGGGGGGCACGGCTGCCTCACCCCGCTCTCTCCTCGCAACCGCAGAACGGCGGCGTCGTCTCCGCGGAGAACAGCGGTGCGGTCTCGCTCATCGGCTCGACAGTGACGGGCTGCTCGGCTGGCTATGTGCGCCGCGTAGAGCCAGCCGCCGCCCTGCAGCCCAGCACGGCTGCAGGCCGAGAGATGTAGAGGGCGGCGGGCCTCACCCCGCTCTCTGCTCGCAACCGCAGTACGGCGGCGTCGTTCATTCGTCTGGCATCGGTGCGGTCTCGCTCATTGACTCGACCGTGAGGGACTGCTCTGCTGGCTCTGTGCGCCGCGTAGAGCTAACAGCCTGCCGTGGCAGCGCCGCACGGCAGCGAGTCGAGAGATGTGAGGGCCGCGGATGCCTCATCCCGCTCTCACCTCGCAACCGCAGACCGGCGGCGTCGTCTCCGCGTCTGGCAGCGGTGCGGTCTCGCTCGTCGGCTCCTCCGTGACGCGCTGCTCTGCTGGCTCTGTGCGCCGCGTAGAGCTAGCCGCCTCCAACAGCGCCGCACGGCAGCGGGTCGAGAGATAAAGAGAGCCACGGTTGCCTCACACCCCGTTCTCAACTACAGCGGGGCGGCGTCGTCTTCGCGGAGAACAGCGGTAACGTCTCGCTCACTAACTCGACCGCCATCGTCCCTCTGCAGCAGTCGGCCGAGTGGGTCATAGCACATGCAGGCAGGGCAGGCGCGACAGCGGCATTGAGTGCAGTTGCGCGAGCCGAGGCAGCCGTCGGCGCACTGCTCTTTCGCCAGGATGTGCTCGCCGGGGTGGCGACTGGCGCAGTAGCGAACGCTCCAGGGCGCGCTCATCTGCGCGGCGTCCATCTCCCCATCGCGCGTCATCTCGTCCGGCGGGCGCTCGGCTGAAGGAATTCTTTTCCCTCGTCTGGGCGAGAATTCTTTACCCTTGCAGGGAGTTTCTAAGATTCTTTGAGGCAGCCTTCGATGTAATAACTCGCCCCGCCGAAAAAAAGAAATTCGCCCCGTTTTTGGTCGCGCTCGCGCGCGCGCCAAGCCACAACCACGTAGTACCCCTGCACCTCGGAAACTCAGAGCCACACGATGGACGCCATGTCCGTCGGGCTGCTCTTTGGAAGCGTGACCTTCTGGAACTTCGGGGTGCTCTTGTGGCTGCTCGCTGCGGCCCTCCCTGCAGCATCGGCTGCCATAGCAGATGGCAGTCCGTCCGCGCAGCCGGTTCCTGTCATCCTCGACACAGACATCGGAACCTTCATGGACGATAGCTTCGCGCTCGCGATGCTGCTGCGCACGCCTCATCTCGTCCTCAAGCTGCTCGTGACTGCCTCGCACGACGTGGTTGGCCGCGCGAGGGTGGCCGCCAAGCACCTGAGCCTCGTCGGGTGCGACGCTGTGCCGATCGGCATCGGCGTGCCGTCGGACAATGGCACCGGCGCGCTCTTCCCGTGGGCCGCTGACTACGACCTGCGAGCCTACCGCGGCGGAGTCCGCTCGGACGGTCTGAAGCCGCGATCTTGGGAGGTGTCGTAGAGAGGGGGAGTTGCCGATGACACCCGTCCCTGACGTGCCGCAGGCGTGGCTGCGATGTGGGAGGTTGTGGAGAGCTCGCCGGTGCCGGTGGCGCTGATTGAGATCGGGCCCGACTGCTAGTAGATGCGGGTACTCACAGCCTCAGGAACATACCAGGAACATACCCCGCTCTCGACGACCCGTTCAAGCCCGTCTTCTCACCCGTGCTTGCGTCGCCGCAGGCCGCACACCAACGCGGCCGCGCTGCTGGCGCGGTACCCGCGCGCGGCGTCGCGCGTCCAGATCTTTGCGATGGGCGGCTCCGTGGTGCCACACATCAAGCTGCCCTGGGGGCACGAGTCGCCGGTGAGCCTCTCTGTCTGTCTCTGTCCCTGTCTGTCTCTATCTCTGTCTCTGTCTCTCCGTCTCTGTCTCTGTCTCTGTCTCTGTCTCTGTCTCTCTGTCTCTCTCTCTGTCTCTCTCTCTCTCTCTCTCTCTCTCTCTCTCTCTCTCTCTCTCTCTCTCTCTCTCTCTCCCTCCCTCCCTCTCCTCTCCCTTTCGCCCGAGCGGCAGCGTCTCTCCTTGCACGTGCGTCTGCGGGCAAGTGCTGCGCTGCGCACAGGTGGCCACCACCAACGAGCGGCTCGACGTCCCCGCCGCGCGGGCGCTGCTGCTGCCCGCGTGGCGCGGCCAGACGCAGTGGGCCCCGCTCGCGACGACCGTCAACGTCTTGCTCGACGGTGCGCTCTGGCGGCGCATCGGCGCGTCGCCCTCCCCTGCGGTGCGCGTGGGGTCGGGACTAGGCGCGGTGGGTGGTGTGCCGGAGGGCCTCACTTCGCGCCTGTGCCCGCCACGTGCACAAGGTGCGCGTGCTCCTCGAGTGCTACCGCGCGTGGTGGAGCGAGTCGAGGCGGCCGATGCGAAGGGAGGAAGGGGGGGCGCCGACAGTCCGAGGCGGCACCCGCGTCTCGTCAGTGGCGGCACTGCCCCCCTCCAGGCGAGACACGAAGTGCATCACCCACCGCGAGGCGTGCTCGCTCGACCCGGCCACAAGCAGCCCGATCCTCTTCGACACAGAGGCTCATCTCTCCCCATATCTCCCCATATCTCCCCATATCTCCCGATCCTGTTCGACACGGAGGCGCGGCGCAGCCCTCCTCCCCCGCCCGACAGACACGGCCACGTCACGGCCACGACACGGCCACACACGGCCACGACACGGCCAAGACGCGGCCACACACGGCCATGACACGTCCGCGACACGACCACACACGTCCGCGACACGTCCGCGACACCGCCCGCCTAGGCTGTGCACCTCGCCGCCGGCGGGCGCTGGCTGTCGCTCACCCCCCTGCGCGTCAACTTCAGCGACGACGGGCACACGATCGTGCTGCCGCCCGAGAGCCGGCGCGGCGCAGTCAGCAGCTTTGCGCTCAACTGGACGGGCGGCGAGGCGGCCAGAGGAGGGGAGGCGGCGGGCGGACGCGGCGGCGGCGGTCTCGCCGCATTTCTGAGCCACCTCACAGACACACTGGTCGGGCTTCCCCCAGGCCAGGCACCGGATCGCCCTGCGCCGTCGCGGGCCGCGGCCGTTCGCGTTGGCGCGGACTCGCTATAGTAGAGGATGCTTAGTCAAACTTAGCACGGTAGAGGCTTGAGGGTACTTTAGGGGGTTTGAGCGAGCGGTCGCTGCGGCTCTCGAGAGGCCGTACATACCTCACGTGTGTTGCGTGCCTTCGGGCCACTTCAGAAGCACACAGAGCCGCATGTACTTTTGGCATATCTCCAGAAATGACTAGCAGTCACATATTTCTCAAACAAACTTTTGCTCTCCCGTAGCCCGTAGCCCAACAAACATGCCTTGTATATACGCGCACGCCACCGACAAAACGAAAATGGGACCGAACGCGCGCGCCGCGCTCCGGCGCCAAACATACGTCAATGCGTCGCCCTCCAATGCTCTCACATGCAAACCAGACACTAGGGCGCCGCCCTCCGGCCCGCCGCCGTGCGCGCCGCCCCCATCTTCAGCTCCGCCACCTGGTCGAGCGCGTCGCCGAGCAGCCCCTTGGCCACGCCGAGGTCGCGCAGCTGCTCCACGCCGCCTCTCGCCCGCACCTCGGCGGCGTGGTCGGCCACGTAGCGGCGGCACTGCGCGAGGAGCCGCCCGTCGCCCATCGTGTGCGCCGCCTCGAGCAGCGGCACGGCGCTCGCCGGCCCGACGCTCTCCTGCAGCGCCTGCGCGCAGAGCAGCTCGAGGCGCGGCACCTGGTACATCTGCGCCAGCTCCCGCAGGTCGAGCGCGCGCCGCGCCTGCTCGCCCTCCCCCTCGCCGAGGTCGAGCTGGTCGGTGCAGAGGTAGTCGATGAAGGCGGTGAAGCTGGCGAGGTCCGTCTTGGGCACCGTGATCTCGGCGGCGTCGCGCTCCTTCATGCCGATGCCAAACATCTTCCCATAGTACTCGGACCGCACGCAGAGCAGGCTCTTGCTCACGTGCTCGATGCGCTGCTCCTCGCCTTTCCGACCAGGAAAGTGACCGGGCCGTGCGGCAAAGAGGCGTCGCCCCGCGTCTTCTTCAGGTCTGCCACGAGGGTCGAGGGCGGCACCACAATCGGTGCAAAGGAGGGAGGCGGAGGAGGCGCAGACATGTCTAGCGTCCACCCAAGACCCATACGGGGTGTGGACCCTGAGTTGACCAGGGGTTGTGCGCTGGGCCCTCCTGCTCGGCTCCAGCCAGTAGACAAGTCTTGTCATCAACAGAGTAGAAGGATCTGACCTCGGGGCCGATGTGACCAAGCGCTGGTAGCGTGGTTTTACCTCACACCCACGGTCTCACAGTGTGCCGGCAGTCGCCGAGCAGTGTCGCTCACACAAGCCGCAGCACAAGTGACTGAGGGCCAGTGAGGGCGAGCCCATCGCTGTCACAGCTGTGGCAGCCGCACAGTAGGCTGTGTCAACTGTGCAGAGTGTGTGAGCAGCAGAGGAGCTGCTCTCCAGGCTTCTGTCGCAAAGAGCTGCATGCCACCGAAAGCGCTGTCGAGGTTCGCCGAGCGCGGCGCAGGTTGAGGGACACCGTCACCGACGAGCGCGTTGGAGTATTCACTCCGGACAAAGACAGTGGCACGCACACGAGCTGCGGCCGTGCCACTGTCATAGTGGCGAGGCGCGGGACCGTCTGTGGCGAAGTGGGTCGCGTCCCTCGATTTCCTCAACTCACGGTCCGCTCCCTCTACCGCGTTGGTGTCCAGTCCGAGCCTGGCTGTTCTTCACCTTTCTACCTACGGTGGGGGTACATACACACATACGTGTGTGTGTGTGTGTGTGTGTGTGTGTGCGTGCGTGTGTGTGTGTGTGTGTGTGTGTGTGTGTGTGTGTGTGTGTGTGTGTGTGTGTGTGTGTGTGTGTGTGTGTGTGTGTGTGTGTGTGTGTGTGTGTGTGTGTGTGTGTGTGTGTGTGTGTGTGTGTGTGATCCGTGAAGAACAGCCTTCCTACCTAACCTAACCTAACAGCTGCCCTACCCCGCCGCCGCTCACTCTTACAGAAAACGCATCCCGACCTTCGACCTTTGACACGGCGGCGGCGGGCGTGCTCCAGCGCGTGCGCCGGCCAGCGCGCGCTCGCCGGTCGAAGAAGAGGATGAGGGCGTACCGCGTGCCTCCCGTCATCGCGCTCACGGCGTGCAGCAGCCGGGAGGAGTGCACGGTGGCGTCGCCCTCGGCCCGCAGCAGCGGCTGCACCGCCCCGCCGAACACGCCGAGCAGGCGGCCTGCCGAGGGGGGCTGGGTGGGCGGTAAGCCGTCATTGCCCGGCGCTGCTTGCAACGCTCTGGGTGGCGGCGCTCCAAGAGTGGTGCTCTTGGGAAGAGGTTCCTCCTTTCCGCTCCCCCCCCGCAAGGCGCGAGACACACCTCCCTCGTGCGACGCATCGTCCGAGAGCGCGACATTGACGGTCACCTAAGGTAAGGTGAGGTAAACTCCTCCACACACACGAGGTGGTGGGGCAAGGGGGGGCAACCCTCGCGTCTCCACGTCTAACGACAGGAGCCCCACGGCATTCAAAGTGCAAGGCCCAATGCGCGTGGGTGAGCGGCCACCTCGTAGGCGTCGGGGTGGAAGGCAATCCACGGCCGCGTCTCCGCCGAGTACCTACTCGAGATCACCCGAGATCACCCGAGATCACCCGAGATCATCCACCGCGGTCGCGTCTCCGCCGAGCACCGCCGCACAAACATCTCCTGCAGCGTCGGTCCCGCGTCCTCGACCTCCGCCTCCGCCTCCTCCTCCTCCTCCTGCTGCTGCTGCTGCTGCTGCTGCTGCTGCGTCTCCTCCGCATGCTGCTGCTGCTTCTCCTTCCGCTGCTGCCGCCGCTCCTCCTCCTTTTGCTCGAACGCCGAGGCCGTTTCGGCCAACCGACGCGCCGCCGCGAGGCGCGCCGCAGCGCCGGAGCGGTCGCCGGCTCGCTTGAGCGAGATGGCCTCGCTGCGCAAGCGGGCCGCGGCGGCGGCGGCGGCGGCGGCGGCAGTGGCTCCGCCATCGTCAGGGTCGGCAGTGCCGGCGGGCGCACACCGCGCGACGGCGGTGCGCGCGCGAAATGCGGTGGGCAGCCTCCATAGCTTGGCCGCCTCCGCGCTGCCGACGAGGGCCTCGAGCGCCGCCCGGCTGAGATTTAGCTGGTGCTCCGCCTGGCCGTCCACAGAGTCCGCCTCGAGCCGGCGCTGCGAGTCGACGGCGGCCCGCAGAGCGGCACACGCCCTCGCGGAGAGGGACTGTGGCACGGCCATCACAGAGCCGTATTCCGCCGCCGTCGGCGATCCCTCGCGCCCGAGCGCGGCGAGCAGGTCATCGACCGGGACCGTCGCTGGGTCTGCGCCTTCGACGAGCAGCGAGCGCACGGTCGGGTGCATCGCGGCAGCCGCGCGCGCGAAGCCGGCAGGGATCGCGCTTGGCAGACTCTGCGGATCCGAGCTGGCCGTCATTTTTGGAGCTCTTCGGCTGTGGTCTAGCCTCTTGCGACCCGATGCTTCACTCATGCTTCGGTGTGAATCACGCCCGCTGTGAAAACATTTTGCGGGGGATTTTTTCGCCAGTCAATAGAGCATGAAAATACCTTTCAGACGGTACCTTTCTGTCCTCCAGAGTCGAAGAACTCGACCGGTGGCTGGCCGCCAAAGTGGCTGGACGGCGCCGCGGCGCACACTGGTGAGCCGCGGAGCACACCAAGGGAGCTGTCCTCGGCGCAGCCGATCAGCTCCCGCGGCCTGGGTGATGGCAGTGGCACTCTCTGAGGCTCCCTGATTTTTTCTGGTATTTGTTGAGCACTCTCTGGTCACCATCGCCGGGCGAGCCTGGCTCTCGCTGCACAGCGGCGCGACCCGCGGTGAGGCTGCCGATCGTCGAACTGGGCTTAGCTCTCAGTCAAGATATTGTGCATATGGTCGGTCTCTACAATATCTTGACTGAGCACGACCGATGAATCGGCAGCACGGAGACAGGAAGGCTCGCTGTGTGAGTCGGCCACGCAGAGGGTCGGAACCTGGGTCGCAAGAGGCTAGCCCCAGCCGACTCCGTGAACTCTCGAGCGGATCTCGAGTTCCAGCTGCTCGGTGTACGAAAACTGCTCCCCGCACTGCACGAGCAGCGACCTTCTGCTGGTGAACCTTCTTTTCTAGACGGCTAGGATTGAGAGCAGCCTCGCTCTCAATCCTAGAAGTCGAAGGATTGTGAGCAGCACTCCTCGCAAGCGTGGCATCTCTGTACGATTGCTAGCACCCACGCTCGCAATCCTACATCTTCTAGGACTAAGAGCAGCTCCGCTCCCAAGGTGTACGAAACTGCAAGGTCTGCTATTCTGAGGCCAGGGTTCCAACTTTTTCCGGGGTATGGTATGGTGGCTCTCGCACCATTTCTTTCGCCGAAAGCGCGCGCATACAACGACATCATGTCAACGGTGCTGCTCGAGCGCGACATGCCTGCGGCCGCTTTGAGCGAGTACCTCGCCAGCCACGAAGCGACGGCGCCCCTCGCCGACAAGCAAGCTCGCCGCCGCGGTCGACGGCAACCTGCTCATCGAGCTTATCAAGGAGGCCGGCAAGGCCGACGCGAGCGCCATCGCGGACTATTTCGTGAACGCGCCGCTCGGCAACGTTGGCCACCTCGCCCTCATGCTACACCGGTTCATAGATAGGTCGAGAAGAAGGCGGGCCAGCTCCAGAAGAAGGAGAAAAAGGCCGCCGACAAGGACCGCGCCGCCCGCATTGCCGGTTTGCCGCCCAAGTGGCGGAGGAGCAGGCGCGCAGTGTGAGTGCTGTGGCAGGCAAGCTCCTGTTCCAGGCCCACAGGGCGAGCGCGCAGGCGGGCGAGGTGGCGCGGCACCAGCGGCTGCGATCCATGTTCGAGAGGGCTGAGCCCTGGTGTCGAGGTTTCGAGGCCCGGTGTCGAGGGTGTCGAGCTGCTGTCGAGGGGTAGAGGTGTCGACAGGCCCGTCGAGGCCCGTCGAGGCCCGTCGAGGCCCGTCGAGGCCCGTCGAGGCCCGTCGAGGCCCGTCGAGGCCCGTCGAGGCCCGTCGAGGCCCGTCGAGGCCCGTCGAGGCCCGTCGAGGCCCGTCGAGGCCCGTCGAGGCCCGTCGAGGCCCGTCGAGGCCCGTCGAGGCCCGTCGAGGCCCGTCGAGGCCCGTCGAGGCCCGTCGAGGCCCGTCGAGGCCCGTCGAGGCTAGCTGCAGCGGCCTTCTCGACAGCGGAGTATGTTGCCTCCATGCTCATCAGGAGGATGAATTCTGATAGCCTGCGAGCAGAGAGGGGGTTACGCGTGCTGGGCAGGCGGACCAGTGTCGCTGCTACGCACCAGTCCGACGAGCCGTAGCTGGGATCGCCGCTTCCTCCACGGAGCAAGTAAGCGGCGAAGGACTCTGCGGCGTCCTGCGTTTCCCCGCAACGCAGCCGCATGATCTGCGCTCGAGCAGCATCGTGATGTACTTTTGCATCTCGCTCAGCATGCTTGCTTTCGTGTCGCTTGCGCTTCTTGCCCGCTGCAGCCCACTTGTTGCGGGCTTGCCGGTATGCTCGCTCTTGACCGTCTCCGAGGTGAGCGAAGTCCTCACGGCAAGGAGCCGGAGGGCCATCGTTGCCGCAGGTCTGGCAGCCGTCGAGGGCGCCACCACCGCTGCCGCCGCACGTGAGCCTGTTGTCGCTGCGGCCTGGGCCGTCTGGAACGACCAGCAGTCGAGCGAAGCGCGCTGCGGACATACACAAACCTAAACACAGATCGCCGTCCCCCCCTCGCCCGGCGGTGCGGAATTTGCTATTGGTCTCTGACACTAAATCGCTCGGAGGCATTTGCTTGTATGATCTATTTAGTACCTGTTGGCATTAAACTAGCTACTCCACGGCACGAACGGCGGGCTGGCGAGGCACCGCAGCACACGAAGCCATCCGGCCAACCATGTAGGGCAGATGATCCGCCTAACGGCCCGTCTGCAGTACAGCCAGCACGTCCCAACTCCATGCGCCGCGTCCTCCATCGGGGTGGTCGACGCGATAGCCTGAGTCGTGAAGCGAGCCAAGGAGCCCTGCCTTGGAGCACTGGGCCCGTTTCAGGTGAGGTAGTGACACCTCTGTGACGATGGCACTGACGCTGCGGCTGGAAAGCAACCGCTGCATGCCCTGCAGCGCCCGGCACTCGTAGCCCTGCACGTCCATCTTCATCAGTGGCACGATTCCCGGCGCTGCAGGTGTGCCGATGGGCAACAGGTCATCGAGTGTGTGGATGCGGACCGTCCCTTGCAACCGGAACTTGTGCCGACTGCTGGCCGTCGACGATGCCCGCGCCTCCCCCTCGCCAACGACCATTGAGTCGCCCGAGTTGTGGATGTCCACATACATCTCCGATGTGCTCGTCTTGTTGCCAAGGCCGATGGGGAAGATGACGACGCGGCTCGCAACGCCCAGAGTGGCCGCCTCCCTCCACCTCCCCCACACCGCCGCCACGCCGCCACGCCGCCGCCGCCCTCCACCTCGCCCGCGCCTCCGCCTCCCTCCACCTCCCCCACACCACCGCCGCCACCGCTCACGCCGCCGCCGCTCCCCGACCTCGTCTACGGACGCGCATGATTAGAACCATTACTCGCGCGACCGCTCCTTTGGACTGGCTACCCCC